TGGGGTTTAGAATGAAATTGATGATTGTTTTGCAAGTTTTAAAAGTTGGGGGACCTAAATTCAAGTGACTGAAAAGTTCAATGACCATTTATATAATTTATCCTAATTTTCTAACTGTGGTTTAAGTTGGGGGACCATATTGCAAACGGAATAAATGTTGGGGGACTGTATTGCAAGTTTTAAATGTTGGGGGACTTAAATGCAAGCTTCTGAAATGTCCAGTGACCATTACTATACTTTACCCATTTTTTTATTATCACGTATGGTTAAAAATATTATTGGTTGAATTATTTTGGTTTTCTTTAATTACGTAAGCTGCTTAAATTCTCAATTTCTCACAGGCCACTAATTTCTTTTTGTTTTCTTTTGCCGGTTTCTTGCGAAACTAACCAAGGCAAGTGCGATGACATTTTATGTAAACAGACTTTATTTTTTAATTCATTTTAATTCAATATATTATATTAAAATCGGTTTTTATTTTATTTTACAATGTTATATATTTAAATTTACTTTAAATATATAAGGTTTGTGATTCAAATTCATACGTTTTGAATGGAATAATTTTAATTAGGAGGGTCAACCTCAAAATAAACTTATGTAGTGTCTTGTTTGAATTAACCAAATAATAGATTAAATATAAGTGATTATATTTAAAAAAAGTTATGGGTATCAAATTCAACACTATCAAGTTTAAGTTTTAAAACATATAAAACTTATTACTTATAAATACTTAAAAAGTTACAATTTAATGTACGAACCAACTTACCTCAGGAATTGTTATTGTTCCCAGAGGTTACGTGTTCGAGCATTAGCGACTGCTAGGGATGGGCATGGGTTGGGTCAGGTTTTTTGTAACATCCTCAATACCGGTTAGTGATTAAATTATAAAGTTTCAGAATTTGATGATTAAAGTAGAATAATTGAATAGTTTAATGAGTTATATGAGAAATGTTGTGTAGGATTGAAGTGTAAAGAAAAAAAAAGTGAAGGATAAAATGGTCATCGACAAAGGGAAATAATTTAATTGTTATGGTTATATATGTTTCCACGTGGAATGGGGTGGAGAAGGAAATAAGCTTCCAGAGTTCTCTTCTTCTCTTCTTTTCTCCATACGTGAAGACCCAAGCTAAAGATAAGATCTCTTGTTAGTGAAATTATTGATGAATTTATGGTTGATTTATGACCATTAGACAATAGTTAAGCTTAAGGAAAGCTTAATTTGTTTTAAAACAACAAGATGATGGAGTTAGGAAGGATTAAAGAAAGGAAGTGGAAAAGTGAAATCTTGATAGAAAAGTATTAAGTAGATTCCAAACTTAAATTTGACTTGTCATTAATGGAATTAAGGAATAGGAAGTGTTAGAATGGGAATTAGAACATGTTGGAAATTAAGTGTGATTCTTGAATGTCAGAAATGATAGGATTTTGAGTTTAAGGAAGAGATTATTGAGTAGGAATGAGTGTAAGTATATGTATGCAAGTTAGGGATGTTAAAGGAGGTGAAATATGAAGGGTTGAGCTGAAAAGAGAGTGATTTTCGTGCTTAAAATGACATTTCTGAGCTAGGGGTATCGGTACCCATTCAACAGGTACTGATACCCTCTCAAACGAAAGAATCACATAATGTATTGAGGGTATCGATACCCCCAGCTGGGTACCGATACCCCTTTAAACGAAAAATCACAGAATGCCATGAGGGTACCGATACCTTAAGTAGGGTATCGATACCCCCTAAAGGAAAAATAGAATAGTGATTCCTTAAATTAGTTTAAGTTATTAGAAGCAAGTTACAAGGTTTAAGCATCTGATATGGATCCATGTATGATTATGTAGATACTAAACGTAATCTCGTTCCAGAACAATCGAAGGATTAGGATCAATTCAAAGCAACAAGGCTAAGGTGAGTGCATAATATAGGTACAATTTAATGGAAATAAGACTTGTGATAAGTCTGTTTCCTAGATTTATTTCATAGTATGATCGTTATGAACATACATATGCTATAGTCTTTATTACACGTGCATAAGTCATATATGTTGACATATGATTTGAATGTACTCATGTACTTATGTTACATGATATGAGATTAATGGTTACATGCACATGGGAAATGTGATAGAAGAAAAGACATATGTGATTACAAGGGAAATGATACAAATACATGGTTATATAAAATATAATATTAATGCCCGTGTTATGTAATGTGAGAGCTATATGTATAGTTGACATGCCAAGAGTCGAGGGTTTCATAGGTCCTTCGGGATAATTCATAGGTCATTCGGGACATACTCACAGGTCCTTCAGGACATACTCACAGGTCATTCGGGACAATTTCATATGCCACTCAGTGGGAATTATACGAGCTGTGGTGACAACAGATGTGCACAACCTCTATGTAATCGAATACCTTAAGTTCCCAGTATATACATGGGCCTATAAATAATGTGAAAAGTGTGTATTTCATTATATGTGATAGCATCAATATTGTTTATAGCGAATCATATGAATTAATATGGAATTATGAATGTTATGTTGCATGTTCATATACATAATAGATGCATTATTATAGATTTATGCCTCACTAAGTCTATGACTTAGCGTGTAAGTGATTTACACGTAGGTATAGAAAAGCAAGAAGACCGATCTTAGGAGCAACATAGCAGTATATCCTCATTTGAAGATCAGATCAGAAGCACCTTACATAGTATGTCAGTTTATATTTTATATGGGTTGGCATGTAAATAGAGTCATATGGTATGTACGCTCTGATCGAGGTGTAATGTTTTGAACTCGGTAATGTAATTATAATTTTGTATTAATGAAAGTTTTAAATTTATGATGGTTTTATAAATGCACAAGCTCTGAAAAGTCAATGTGACACCTCGGATTCGTATTCGGGTCGGATACGGGTTGGGGGTGTTACATTTTTGGTCCACCCGACCCGACTCGAGAACAAGGGAGCCTCCACCCGAGACCTGACCCGACTGACCCGAACAAAGCAAGGTTTCACCCGACTCGATATATAACTTAGAATCTCGACCCGACCCAACCTGAAATAATAAAAAATATTTTTATTCAATAAAAACAGTGACTTAATTGAAAAAATTATATATAGAGGGGTATTATTGTAATTATTCCTAAATATATAAGGTAAAATTATATATTTTTTCGGGTCGGGTATTTTTCACCCTAAACTCGAACCCGACCCGAATATCACACTTAAAAAACCCGACCCGAACCCGATTTTTTTAAGAAAAATTCGACCCGGTCGGGTCGGGTCGGAACCCATCGGGTTCGGGTCCCATACCTATCTCTAACGACTGCAAGGATAATTGAGAGTTCATTATCAAATGATTGAGAGTACTTAGAACAAATATTACTCTGTAATCACCTTTAGCTTAATAAAAAAAGTTAATATTTAATATCAAAATAGTTCCTCGACTATAGGGTGATATTTTGTTAAGTCTCTTGACTATAAAATAGTTGGATGATTGTTTTGTAATTTTTAATAGTTGGGAGAATCAACCAAACAATACCTTATAGTGAAAAAACCATTTTATAATTTTTAATAACCCAGAAATTTAACAAAAACTCACTCTATAATAAAATACAATTCGTATACTTTATTCTAAAAAAACGACAAGTTGAAGTTTTGAACCTTAAAAATTAGAGAAAAATATCGACTATTTTAAATATATACATATATATAAAAACAAACAAACAAAAGTTATGTTTATTCTCCATAGCTCTATAATCGACTATTTTAAAAAAATATATATAAACAAATAAGTTATGTTTATTCTCCATAGCTCTAGAAGCGTCTTCTCCAAAATCAGTCTCTTTTGTTGTTTGTTTGAACGTTGGGGAACTCGCTTTCATGTGCAAATTGGCTCAACTAATACAAAATCATGCAATCTTTCTTCTCCACAATTTAATGTTGTCTTTTAATGTGAAAGGTACCCTAATCGATTTTTTCTTAATATTATAATGTCAAGTGGGTTTGAGTGAGGATTTCTTGAAAGATTGCTTATGAACAATTAAGTGATATGGGGTTCCTTTTAAAAATAAATAAATAATATAAGGTGATCATAAGATGAAATATGTTTAAGGTTTTTTTAATTAATTGACAATATATACATACATCCTACAGACGTAGTTGTTTAAACTTAGAATCTCTTAGATAAATAATATTTTTTAGTACTGAGATTACTTAATTAGTTCTAATATGGTGGGTTTTAGATTAAAGATACAATTAGAAACAAATACATGATATTGTATTAGAAGATGAATTTTTAAAGAGGCAAAGATATATTTTCAATATATACATTATTTAGTCTTTATAATATTACTTCATGTTGCACCAAGATAGAAAATAGTGTTCACATCGTCATGTTGTTTGAATTTTAACGACTCCATACTTAATCAAATTGAAAGTTTAATATCAAAATAGAATCAATTTTTAATTTAATGATATAATTGACATAAATCCTAAAATTCAATGTATCTTACGTAATTTAATTAAACTAATAACCGAATTGGTTTCCTCAGCACAAAAACCTCGCGAACCAAAAGAGAGGAGGGAATCAGAAGCAGAAAAAGATGTCGCAAAAGTTGCCTCCCGAAGAAACGACACGGTTTCCTTCACAACGGTCTTTCTCGCTTTCCCTCTCCTTTACCTTCTTTTAGAATTTCATTAAAAAAACTATTTTTTTCTGCTTCTAATTTTCAGGTGAAATAGGTATTGAATGGGAAGAGGTAAATATTTACATAACTTTACCGGCTAGTGTTCACTCCAAGCAATTTTATCGTAAGATTTAATCCAAACATGTCGAAGTTGGAATCAAAGCCAATCCTCCTTATCTCAATGTTAAGTCTTTTCTTTCTATCCTTCTTAATTTTAATTTATCATTTTGTTAATTTTGAGGTTAATTATATTTTTCTCTTCAGCTTGATTTTTTTCTTCCCGGTGAAGAGATTCAGCATTTTTGACACTAGGTATTTTGTTTTCCTTTTTCTGGAAATTTATCGTTTGGTTCAAGTTAGGGTTTGTTGCGGAAGACGGCTATCGGATAGAGTAAAATCGCAACTGATAATTTGAGAAAATAAAAATGAAGATAAAAGAGACACAAAATTTACGTAGAAAACCCCTAAAAATTTAGGGTAAAAACCACGGGCAACGGTAGAAGAATTTCACTATGAGAAAATAGGAATTACAACCTCTCTCGATCTACCAAAGAGAAAACAATGATAATTCTCTCTAGATAAAAAGGAGAAAACAAATCTCAAGAAACTCTCTAAAATCTCTCTAGTATTGGAAGAAAGCTAGAATGCTTTGGGATGGTTTTAAGCTAAATGAGCTAGGGTATTTATAGTTGAAGCTTTAAGGATCAATTTGTAAATACCCTAAACTTTAGTTTGTAATTTGCCCTTTCATTTTGTCAACAATTGAGGCTGCCTTTTTTTTTATTTCACACTTTCGGTGCATGTGCACCGAATTGCATGCTGACTTTCAACAATCTCCCACTTGAAGATTTGATTGGAACAATCATATCTTCACATCATTCTTTCTACCTTGTGAATTCATGTTGCTTACGTCTCTGACAGGCCACAAGAGGATCGACACCAAGTAAATTTATCAGCATTGATCGCCTTCGTCATGAAATCTGCTATGTTGTCTTTGGTATGGATCTTCTGCATATCTATCGTCCCTTCTTCCACCTTTTCACGAATGAAATGGTACTGAACTCGTATGTGTTTTGTCCTTGAATGAAATGCTGGATTCCTTGCTAGATGCAAGGCGCTTTGACTGTCACAAAACAGAGAGACATACTCTTGATTGTGCCCAAGCTCCTCCAATAGCATCTTCAACCAAATTGCTTCTTTACTGGCTTGTGTAGTTGCTACATATTCTGCCTCTGTTGTGGATGTAGCCACAACTGACTGCAATTTTGAAACCCAGCTTATAGCTCCACCAGCAATTTTGAACACATATCCTGTAGTAGATTTGCTTTTATCCAAATCCCCTGCATAGTCAGAATCTACATAACCATTGATTAGTAAGTTTGATCCTCCGTAACATAATGCAATATTTGAGGTCCCTTTGATGTATCTTAGGATCCTCTTTACAATATTCCAATGCTCTTTGCCTGGATTCGCCATGTACCGACTAACCACTCCCACTGCTTGTGCAATGTCTGGTCTTGTGCATATCATAGCGAACATCAAACTTCCCACTGCTGATGCATACGGTACTCGAGACATCTTCATCCTATCTTCTTCACTGCCAGGACTCATACTGGAGGATAATTTGAAGTTAATAGGAAGAGGGGTAGAAATTGGCTTACAATCTTGCATGTTGAATCGTGACAAGATCTTCTTCAAGTAATTCTTTTGTGAAAGCCAAATCTTCCTATTACTTCTGTCTCGGTGAATTTGCATCCCTAGAATCTTTTTTGCTGATCCCAAGTCCTTCATTTCAAATTCCCTAGCCAGTTGTGCCTTCAATTCTTCAATAGGATCTTTGTTGGGTCCTACAACCAATATGCCATCCACATACAACAACAATATAACAAAATCGTTATCACCAGACCTCTTGAAATAAGCACAAGTGTCAACATTAAGTCTGTTGTATCCAAGGCACATAATGAAGGAATCAAATCTCTTATACCAACACCTCGGCGCCTGCTTTAGACCGTACAGAGATTTGTTCAACCTGCAAACCAAGTTCTTCTTTTCGTCTTCTTCAAAACCTTCAGGCTATAACATATAAATCTCTTCTTCAAGATTTCCATGAAGAAAAGCTGTTTTAACATCTAGTTGCTCTAGATATAAGTTCAATGTAGCACACATTGCCAAAACTACTCGAACTGTTGTTAGTCGAACCACAGGAGAAAACATTTCATTGAAATCAATACCTTTCTTTTGAGCATATACTTTGACCACCAGTCTTGCACGATATCTCTCAACTTGATCGTCACCATTTCGCTTGATTTTGAAGACCCATTTGTTACCAATTGGCTTCATTCCTTGTGGTTGTGGCACAAGGTCCCATGTATTATTTTTATGAAGGGCTTCAATTTCTTCTTGCATCGCCATCATCCACAGTGAAGCATCTGAGTTGTTTATTGCCTCCTGGTATGTTGATGGCTCACCGTCCTCTGTTAAAAGGCAGTATGCAATATTACCTTCTATAACATAATCTGAGTGCCAATTGGGACGTCTTCTCACACGATCTAATTGACGAGTTGTTGGAGTTTCAGAACTCTCTTGTTCTTGTTCATCATGTGCTGGTTCTACTTCAGAATAATCTCCTTGTTCAACCTCCTTTTCCACATGTATCTGTGTAGTCTTTGACTTTTCAACGCTATCATTATCTTCTTTTCTTTGTAGTTTATCTTCTACAAAGATAACATCCCTGCTGATGATCACTTTGCGGGCAGTGGGATCCCACAAGCGATACCCCTTTACACCATCAGCATACCCCAAGAATTTGCATTTCCTGGATTTTGGATTCAACTTTGAAATTTCTTGGGCGTTGTACATCACGTACACAATACTTCCAAATACATGGAGGTTTGAATAATCAATTGGTTTACCAGTCCACATCTACATTGGTGTCTTCAGCTCTATTGCAGTTGATGGAGCTCGATTCACCAAATAACAGGCGGTATTGACTACTTCTGCCCAGAATGATTTTTCTAGGCCTGCGTCCCTCAACATTGCTCTTGTTCTTTCTAACAAGGTTCTGTTCATCCGCTCTGCCACTCCATTTTGTTGAGGAGTGTTCGCCACTGTGAGCTGTCTTTTGATGCATTCTTTCTTGCAAAAGTCATCAAATTCTTCGCTTGTGTATTCTCCTCCATTATCTGTTCTGAAACACTTGATCTTATTTCCAGAATCAAGTTCCACCCGCGCTTTGAAGTTTTTGAAAGTTTAAAACACGTCTGACTTCTTCTTAATAGGGTGCACCCAACATCTCCTGGAGTAGTCATCAATAAATGAGACAAAGTATTTTGCTCCACCTAGGGACGTTACTGGTGCTTTCCATACGTCAGAGTGAACCAATTCTAGAACACTTTTACCTCTAGAATTTGATGTGTTGAATTTCAACCGGTGCTGCTTACTTGTTATGCAATGCTCACATAAAGTAAGTGATACCTTTGTTAAGCCTGGAAGTAGCTTTTGCTCCACAAGGACTTTCATTCCTTGTTCTGACATGTGTCCAAGTTTCTTATGCCATAGCATTGCAGAATTTGAACTACATGAGGCAACAGAGGCTTCTGCTTCTAGCAATGTCTCTCCCTTCAGCATGTACAAGTTTGCAGTTATCTTTTCACCTTTCAGCACCACAAGCGCTCCACGGAACACCTTCATGATTTCTTTCCGTGTTTCAATCTTGCTAGCATTATTATCCAACAATCAGTAGGATAATAATTTTTTCTTCAGACCTTTCACGTGCCGCACATCTCGAACAACTTTAATTGTTCCATCATACATCTTCAATTTCATGGTTCCCACGCCAACGATCTCTAAGGCATGATCATTGCAACTATATACAGATCCTCCTTAGACAGGTTCATAATGATGGAACCATTCTCTTCTTGAGGTCATGTGATATGTTGCTCCCGAATCAATGAGCCATATATCTGCAAATCGTTTTCTTCCTTCCATGGTGGTTGACGCTTCACAGCATAGAGCATCTCCATCATCTGAAGTGTTTGCGGTATTGCCTTGTGGATTGGAGTTTTTATTTACACTCCAACAATCCTTCTTCAAGTGACCCTTCTTTCCACAGTTGTAACACTTTAAATTCTTCTTGCTTCTCGACTTCGATCTACCATGTTTGTGACTGCTGCTTTGGCCACGTTCTGTTGATCTCCCTCTCATCGTTGTAATCGTTGTCAACGCTTATGCTTGTTGCAGATTTACTTGTCTATCTTCCTTGTTCTTGCGCCGATTTTCTTCTTGTAGAACAGCATGTGCAACGTCATCGAAGACTAGACTGGTGACATTACTGTTTGTCAAGTTGATGATGAGTTGATCATATGAATCCGATAAACTTTGAAGTAGAAGTTCAGCACGTTCTTGTTCTCCTATTTTACAGCTTAAGGATGTAAGCTGAGAAAATAAAGTGTTCAGTGTATTTAAGTGCTCCGTCACTGAAGTAGATTCTGACATACGGAGAGTGTATAATTTTCTCTTAAGGGAAATTTTATTGTGCAACGATGTGGCCTCGTACAGTTTGGTGAGATGATCCAATATCTCCTTAGCTGTCTTCTTCTCCTCGATACTTGACAATACTTCATCTGCTAATGCTAGATGAAAGTTTGCCATAGTATTTCCGTCAATTTTGATCCATTTGTTGTCGTCTGTGAAATCTACTGATCTTTCGTTGATAGCTGCTAGACAACCGTCTTTCCTCAGGATGACCTTCATCTTCAATTTCCACAATGAGAAATTTCTCCCATTGAACTTTTCAATATCAAATTTCGTTGCCATTGCTTCGTTTACGGATAGCTCCCACTATTTCACTATCTTGAATAGTTCTCTGGAACCTTCAAAGAATGGGTAATAACTTCTTACTTTCTTATGTTGAAGGATCCACCTTTTGGTGGCAACCACAAAGACAATAAGTAGATATTACACACTCTAATCTAGCTCGGATACCAATTGTTGCGGAAGACGGCTATCGGATAGAGCAAAATCGCAATTGATAATGTGAGAAAATAAAAATGAAGATAAAAGAGACACAAAATTTACGTGGAAAACCCCTAAAAATTTAGGGTAAAAACCACGGGCAACGGTAGAAGAATTTCACTATGAGAAAATAGGAATTACAACCTCTCTCGATCTACTAAGGAGAAAACAATGATAATTCTCTCTAGATAAAAAGGAGAAAACAACTCACAAGAAACTCTCTAAAATCTCTCTAGTATTGGAAGAAAGCTAGAATGCTTTGGGATGGTTTTAAGCTAAATGAGCTAGGGTATTTATAGTTGAAGCTTTAAGGATCAATTTGTAAATACCCTAAACTTTAGTTTGTAATTTGCCCTTTCATTTTGTCAACAATTGAGGCTGCCTTTTTTTTTTATTTCACACTTTCGGTGCATGTGCACCGAATTGCATGCTGACTTTCAATAGGGTTTAGGATCGGGGAAATTTTAGAAACTTTAAATTATTTGGAACGGAAGCTTTTTTGGTTCGATTATATTGATTTAAGCTGAATCCATGATTTAGGATGATTAATTATCGTTTAAGTTTATTTGTTTTTTTTGACAATTGAGTAGGGAAAGTGTAGTTTTTGGGGTTGAGCTAAAATAGAGGTGTTTTATTTATGGCCAGAAGATGATATAATGCACATAACATTGCAGAAGAGGGACAAGGGTCAAACATGTTCATCATACTAGGGGTCAAAAAAAATTAGCTGACCCTTTTTTCCCATATGTAATGGGGTAAGGGGGGGAGATATGATAGTAGGCTGCCCCCAACGCCAGGTTGAGAGCAGCTTCCGTGGAGACCTCCGAATTATGAAATTCCCTCCGTGGGACTCGATCCCACGACCACAAGTTTAAGAACCTTGTGCTCTGCTAGGGGTCAGCTGGACCCATATTCCACTGATCTAGAGCAAAAGCGCCTCACGTTTCAGAGGTTTCAGGAACAGGTGAATCATGTGTTTCCTTCTTTAAATTACTTGCTCTAAATGTTAGGATGTGGTTTTTCAATCCGTTCTGCAGTGAATGATTCTAGTGTTACAACAGCAATGTAATTTCTTATGCTATTGCAAATCTTAATGTGCCGAGCTTATTCATTTTAGGGTCCACTCGTTCCTTTGTGATGCTTGTTAAAAGCTAGGTTATTTAACTTTGTGTCCGATCTGTATTCGGACATGGATATGGGGGTATAATCATCTAAACATATGAAAAACATGGAGAAATTTTGAGTTTGTCCTTGTTAGACACGTTTCCATATCCGACCCCCATGCCTTGAGAAATTTTCATTCCTGTTTCTGTGAAGTTGAAGTTAGTTTCGTTATAAGTTTCATTCAGGCTTCCTCTCCTGATTAAGATATTCGTATGTTTTCCATTTCAGCAAGCTATATTACAATATGTAGCTTTACCTTGTTTCATGTTATATTTATTTCATGTGGATTCATAGTTTTTTCTTAGATTTTCCAGCAATATCTGTCTCAGTTACATGTATTTATATTCACTAAAATTTCCGAAGAAAAATATCATCAGAAGTGGATAATGTAATATGTATTTATAACTCAAGCCCCATATTAGCTAAGGCTTGATCCTCTTATGCTTCACATGAATGAGTTGCTACTCATCTAATTATAGGCTTTTGGAAATTACTTCTCTAGAAGTATGAAATCTTAAGTCTTAGTTATGTACTTTTTAAATTGATGAGGAATGATAAATGATCTCACATGAAGCTGCATGTTGCGAATTTTGTGCTACTCTTGATGTAACACAGGATTAACTTTTGGTTCTTCTATGGTATCTTGTTGCTTAGTATGTGAGACCAGCAGCAAAATGAAGATAGGCTTTGGAGTGAAAAGAACCATCGGATAATCATGTAAATGACGTTTCTAACCACTAATAGGTGAAGAGTTGAATAATTACAGTTGAGGTAGATCCAATCATTTTAGGTAAATTGTCTAATATACTATGCAGTGACATAACATAATATCCTATACAGAACAAAGCAAAATTAAATTAATAATTAATCAAATAAAAGGGAAGTTTCTTTGAAGAAGCTGGCTTGTGGATAAGATGAAGATGTCATCTATAAATGGGAGCTCAATCTGGTCTATATTTGGTTGGTTTAGAGTTAAAACATTTTGCACTGTAAATGAAATGCTAGTTTTATGTGCTTATTATGGAATGTTTTGAGTTTTGATGCCTGTAAAACCTTTTTCAAGTGTTCATTTGTCTTTTGATCACATTTTCGTAAGAAACTCTTAATTCTCACAATTATTATTTGGCTGTTCTTATTTCTGCTTTTGTGGTTGCTCGTGTAAGTCCTATTGAACTGTTATCAATTATTTGATTCTTGTGTGGTTCATTGCCACCCAAATACACGCAGTTAAACTTTTGACTCAATACCTTGTTCAGGCCATATTCCAACTACTTGTAGGGGTGACTTGAACTTAACATTTACAATGTGTTATTTTCATTCTGTAGAACCCAGGCTTTGACTTCTCCCTAGCTCAGTTCACGGGGAGCTGTCCTGATCCAAGAACTTGTAATGGGTGGCATCCATGCCGATTGAGAATCTTGACATGCTGGTTATCAAATCTTAACCTTTACATGGTAAACGAACAAACTAATATCCTCTCTCCATTACTCCATAGTCGTTCTACATGAATTAATTTATTGACTCAGCCATCAATCCAAGATGTATTACTGTGACATGGTCTGCAATCACTATGTTCCAATCTACTATAAGAAATTGGATTTATCTTATATTTTTGTCTCCCTTTTATGGTTGAATGAATTAGGTTCAAGCAATTGTTATTATGTTGTGTCAAGTATGGTTTGTTTTCGAACATAATTTTGCTTACCCGGTTTGGAATTTGAATCCCAAAACCAAAAACTTGCTATCCCGGGGCTTTGACTTACTTTAAGGAAGAGGAGTCTTAAGTAAAGCTTGAAAATAAAGTGGAATCACATTCCAAACAGGTATTGTGATTTGTGAGAAGGGGACGGGGAATATATAATAAATATCGAGGAGCTGATGAAGCAGAATCATATTCTTTTTCTTTCGTCTTATCATTTTTTTATGCCATGCAATTGTCCGTTGTGTTCATTCCATTTTTTCTTATCAGCTTCAACATCAAAAATCGGTAATGTAATATCCCAAATTTTGGATTGGATGCTGAAAAGTAATTTTCAAAAGTCTGGGGACTAAAGTGTAAATTTGTAAAAGCTTAAAGACTAAGAATGTAAATTTTTCAAAAGTTATATTTTGGGTCTAGAAATGAGTAGTTCAGTCCAAGAATGGAATTATAATGAGTTTCAGAATTTTGATTTGAAGTTGGTTTAAAAGTTTATTAAGCGATAGAGTATTGTAAAATATTTGGATAATCGGATCAAATTGGAAGTTTACAAAAATTTGAAGGAAAGTATTTTGGGGCTAGAAATAATATATTGATATTTTTAATTAGTAGAATTTGATGTGATTTAGTAAAATTTGGAGGAATTTCCATGTTAAAGTGGAATAGTTAAATTTAGTAACTAAATTGAATTTTTGAAAAATTGGGAAGGTAAAAGTAGAAATTGATAAATGAGATTTTTATATTTATTTAATGATATTAAAATGGAGACAAAAGGATAACATGTTGGTAAAAAATTAAGATTTATTAGGAGAAATTTTGACTTTTGGGCTAAAATGAATTTAAATTCAATTTAAATTGGACTTTTAAGGAGACTTTTTGTAAGAAATTTCAAGATAACTCTCATCTTCTCATGCAACCTGCCGTGATTCCATAGCCAAGGTGAGCAAGGTTTTTTTTTAACTGTCAGTACAAACAGAAAATTTTATTGATAGCGATTGGATCTATACAAGTTTAATTTTAATAATATTTTTTATATGATATCACCTATTCTCTATGTTAAAAGTTTAATTTATTTTATTTTATTATATTACCTCACTAAGTGAAAAACTTAACGTGTGATTGGTTCAAACGTAGGTGTTAAGCTAGCGAGTCATTTCGGGAAGATCAAGTCCGACACTAGAATCAGTAAGAACATCATTTTTTGTTATATTTGTAGTAAGTGGTATGTATATTAATGATATTTTAATTGGTTTAATATTTATATTAGTTATATAACGATTTATAACATAATATCTAAAACTATTTTAAAATAGGTAATATTATGTACTATAAATAAAATAAATGAATAGTACAATATTAAATTATATTTTTAAATATTAAAGTATGGTTTTATGTGATGATTAGTTTAAGAAAAATAAAAAATGCATTTTAAGATTTTAAAAAATAAAATTTTATTGGTTTTCAAATAGAAAACATTCTATATAATTGGTGTGACATTTTTAATTCATATGCAGTGATGTATATGTGTTAAGGGTGTTACAAGTAATCATTTAATTGTTAGGATTACTCTTTGCTTGCTTTATATACGTCGAGAGGGTATAATATTTAATGCATCGAGAATGTATAGTTTCATGTATCACCATAAATTAGAGGATTATCATATCATTAAGAATAAAGTAAATTTTATTTTATTTTTTATGAAATGTCATAAAATTTTGCTATGGTTAAAGGAAATTTCGAACGGGAAGGCGTAATCACTCGTACCATTTATAAATAATAATAATACAAATTAAAACATAAAATTCGCAACTTACGTAACGATAACCAACTTTCAACGCAGTCTATTAATTACATCAAATATTAACAAAACTATAGTTTGCTTAGTAATTAATAATATTTATATTTATTTGTGATAAGTGTTGTATGGATAAGATGTTGTTCAAACGTGACTTATATTTTATTTTCAAGCACATGTTAAAAATTAAAATAACGTTTATATTATATGAAATTTAGAGAAATATTTAATTTATTTGACAAAATAGAGATTGGCCAAATTTTCGTTGAACAACTACTAATTTCAAAATTCCATTTTTCTTATTGTAATTCTGAAAAATAGCGGGGAAATCTGACTTGTATTTGTGTGTTTAAGAAGGGTATTCTTTGGTTCGCAATTCAAAGCGGTCACGACACCCGCGGGTCCAAAACAAAAAGGTATGTATTTAAGTTTGCAGCTTTTGGAACCTATAAATAATCCTCACATGAACGGTGTATGTGGCGGGCTTCCCCTACTTGTTGACACCTAGATCTTTGTCTTCCTTTTCACCTCCCATGTCTTCCCTCTAATTCTCTCTTTCCCTTATTTTCCCTTTTATTTTGAATGGATTAGCTCTCGTTTGCTTTTCCTCTTGATCTCCATGACCCCAGAACCCAGCACGACTCAATCCCTCCTTTTGTCACCTTCTCTCCGCCATGGTAACAACCACCATCCCTCAGCCCCAAAACACCCAAATCCAAAGCGTTCTCATTGTCGGTAATTACTGCCACGATGTCCTTATCCAAGGTGGCGACGTCCTCGCCGAAACCCTCGGGGGAGCCGCATCTTTCATTTCCAACGTCTTTAGCGCGCTCTCCGTTTCTTTCCATCTAACCTCAAAGGTCGGCTTCGATTTTAAATACCCGGTTAATCACGAACCCGTCGTGATCCCCACCTCTAAAACCACCGTTTTCCACGCCTATTTCGATCAGGGTCATGCCGATAATGCTCATCAAGATCGGGTCTTGAAACTGGTCGAGGTTTGCGATCCGATTAATTCATCGGATCTGCCCGATAAAAGGTTCGCTTTCGGAATGGCGGTTGGGGTCGGCGGGGAGATATTGCCGGAGACGCTGGAAAAGATGGTTGAAATATGCGACGCCGTCTTCATCGATGTCCAAGCTTTAATCCGTACTTTTGACAAAAACGACGGGACGGTAAAGCTTGTGGGGTTAAAAGAGAGTGGGTTTTACCATTTGTTACCGCGGGTTAAGTTTTTGAAGGCGTCATCGGAGGAGGCGCTGTTTATGGACGTTGATGAAGTGAAGCAAATGTGTTGTCTGGTGGTAACGCAGGGAAAAGATGGGTGTGAAGTTTATTGGAAAGATGGGGTAATGAAAATTGAGCCTTTTGGGGCTAACCAGATTGATCCGACCGGAGCCGGAGATAGCTTTTTGGGTGGATTAGTCGGCGGGTTGGTCCATGGGTTGGTTGTTCCCGATGCTGCTCTGGTGGGTAACCTTTTTGGGTCACTTACGGTTGGTCAGATTGGTCTCCCTAAGTTCGACTTAAGATTGTTACAGGTTTGTTGCTTCATATTTTCTGGGTATTTTGATGTTACTTTCACTTTCATGCATATGAAATCGTTTCAGCTGACATTTAGGTACTGTTTAATTGACGTTGTTCTTTTTCCCCCTCTCAAAATGTGCATTTTCAGTGATTTACTGATGAAATTTATCGTGATAATGTTGGCAAATGGTATTTTCACAATATTGATGCCTGTTGATTGGCTGTAAATGAGGCGAGACAGATCGCGAGTTACTCGAGATTGACTCGATCAAGACTCGATAAATACTCGGATCGAATGGATTCGGCTCGAGCTCGACTCGAGTTCTTAACGAGCCGAAACGAGCTACTCGATATTCGACTCGAAAAACTTGTGAGCAGCTCGAAAATATAATATATTAAAATTTTATTTTTTTAGAAATAAATTATTAATAATATTAATATTTATGTATTGATTTTTTTTATAAAAAATATACATTAAGATTTATTGTATTTAAGGTTTATGTTTGAGTTTGAGGCTTCAATCGAGTTAAGTTTAAGATTTTTTTTTCATTTCGAGTCTTTTCGAGCTGCTCACGAGCTTCAGTTTAGGATTTCGAGTTCGAGTTGAGCTTAAAAATTTTAACTTTTAAGCTCGCGAGTTTTCGAGTCGAGTCAAGCTCAACAATACTCGAGTTCGACTCGGCTCGTTTACACCCCTACTGGTTGCATGTAATGAAACAATTTGAAATGTACATTGATTGAAAGTGTCATTTTGTGTAGCACAAGTACATGCACGGCAATACTATTCAAGCGAGTGAATTATGTGTTGGAAGTTGGGTTAAATGTTTAGAATGTCCATTGTTTGTAGAGTCGAATCAGATGTAAACTGGAAATGTGGACCATATAATAGTCGTGCTGCTGCTCTTTTATCGAATATATGTTCAGTCGACTGTATTGCAGCATAAGTTGTACATCACCGTTATTTATATCATTATATGCTTTCGTTTGGTTGTGTTGCGTAACAAAACTGAGATTTTAACTTTCCAAGTTCTTTCCTCGAGGAACTGGATAGTATAACTAATAAAAAAATCATTGTTAGGGAACTCTGGCTAGTTTTTGCGTGTTTGTATGTCGACGGAGAACAACTTTGCATGTTTCTTCCCTCCCCTTTGCTCTGTGATGATTTGTTGATTCAAGATTTTACGAAATGGCACTGCTAAATTGCTTGCCTAAATATTTGATGTGAATTTGTCTAGTTGAATTATTCATAAAGTGTAAAAGTATTGCTCTATCTTCACCGTTGTCTTAAATGAAGACATTAGGTTGTTCTTATTGTCCATGCCAGACTCTATTTATGAATTGAGATTCAAATTAAGACATTACTCTCGAGTCTCGACCGACATGAGAGGCTTCTAGAAAATCTTTCTCTTGAAACAGAACACATCTGCGTCCTACTATTATTTGTGTTATTTTTATCAGACTTCTTTGGGAACTTGTAGTGTGCTAGTTGTATAGCATTTGGCTCCCTCAGCATAGAGATGAACATCTTTTCCACTTTTTATCTGCATCAAATGATCACACAATAACCAACTAGTTTGTAATTTGAGGAATATTTCTTCATACATAATAGGATTTTTTTTTGCACGATATGATATCTCTTGCTGATACATTTCATATATGAAACTCTCTTCTTTAGGATTACTGACATAGCTGAAAAGTTTGGTTGTAGAGTGAAAACCATGCACTTGAGATTCCATGAAATCGGAATGCTTCTTTCATAAAGTGTTTGTTTTCCCTCTTTTGACATTCCAGAGAATTAAGGATGAGGTGCAAAGAAGGACGCTGCACAGTACATGCTGGAGCGGAGATGATTCGATGAGTTTCACAAAGCCGGACGGGCATGAAGAATTCCATGCTTCCCTTGCATCGTGTAAATTAGGTTCAATATGCTCCGTTCAAGAATGTGTACGGGATGTGCCAAGATCACTGGGGAGCGTAGAGCAGGTTACCCACCCCCCGTGTAATGGGCAGCAGAAGTTGGTAGATTCTGTTTATGATAAACCAATTTAAGCAGAAGAGGATGCAGCACTAGCGGGAGCATTTTCCGTTTTGTGGTATATCATCAAATAAGAACGGGGTGAGTGAAGAGCCTTTAAATGAGAAGCGAATTATAACTTGGTAAATACATGTAGCAACAATGCTTGCATGGTAACGTACATTTTAGAGAGAAAAAAATGACATTCTTATGCTGCAGTTTAATTAAATTAATTATTTAATGGTTTGAATATTGTGTTGGCAATGCGACATTATTATTATTAACTTTACTACCAATCAAAATTATTTTCGAAAGTCTTCATTTGGAGTTTTGGCAAAAACAAAACTAAAAGCACAACCTAAAGAAGAGAGAATATGATAACCGAGAGCTTTTAACCACCTATTCTGAATATATATTTTCAACATTGTTTTCCATAAAAAAATTAACATTGTTATTTATATTGAGCTCATTTTCATATGTATATGTTAAGTATAGCCAAATTATTTTAACACGGGTTTCTTCCAATTTGGCAAGTTTTCATGGATCCCAAGAGGTCGTTTTCACATATTCTAACCAACAGGTCATATGTTATAAGGTTGAGCATAACGTGTGATAGAGCAAGTGAAAGATACGATTTTCATCAGCTAAACGAAGTCTGCTTCAAACTAACCCTAAAAACTCCCAAACATCTTAAACAAAAAGTTCATCTCCAAGGATTTATCAACAACTTAACTGGGAATAAAGTAAGACTCAAACTTTGATATTTATAGAGGGATTTCACCACTGTCAGCAATCACAACTTTGCTCTTGGGTGTCCCACTCTGCATTCCTTCGGCTTCGATTTTGTAGACCACATCCATACCGGACAGCACCTTTCCGAACACAACATGTCTGCCATCCAGCCTGTTTAGGAACAATGTAAAACTTAGAAACATATAAACATCCTAACTGTTTGCGACTGTCAGTTTGTAAATTACCAGCTCGTTGTCACAGTTGTAATGAAGAATTGCGACCCGTTGGTGTCAGGACCGGCGTTTGCCATTGACAAAAACCCTATTTTTCCACCAAAAAAAGAAAAAGAAAAAAGAAAACAAGGTTCATGATTGTCACAACTTTTCATTCTTTTCCTTTATGTATAGCACTTGATATAATGACATATTGGCTCTCACCAGGTCCAGTGTGCTTCAGCTTGAAATTCTCATCGGCAAATTTCTCACCATGGATTGATTCTCCACCTCTTCCATCACCAAGTGTAAAATCACCACCTTGAATCATGAAGTTTGGAATAATCCGGTGAAACGCACTTCCTTTGTAGTGAAGAGGTTTCCCACTCTTTCCGACACCCTTTTCCCCTGTAATGGAAAACCCAATCGCATAACAGCTCTACATTAAACAATTGTTGCTAATGGTTTTCCCTAGTTCTACAGACATTACATCTTTTAAGGTAACTAAGGTTGATCAAAGAGATAACTCATACCTGTGCAGAGTGCTCGGAAATTTTCTGCATATAAGAAAGTTTAAGCTGATTAGAAAAATAACAGCCAAGAAAATTGCAGACTACAACCATTAATTTAGCCATAACATCATCATACCTGCTGTTTTCGGAACTGTCTTTCCGAAGAGTCCCATAACAATTCGACCTAAGAACAATAGTTCAGTAATCGTTTAGCTGTCTAAACCGAAAGCACGAGCGGCTATAACGCAAAGCAAAATATACTTCTATACAGAAATCCACATGGAATGATTAGATTACTCTCCCAATATCAAACTAAATCTTCATTCCTTCTCAAGATAATTAGTTATACAAGCAGACTAAGTTGCTTCTTAAGCGAAAACCCCTTTCTCACAAATCTTAAGGGCTAGCATTTAAGCTTATATCACAGATCCAATGGGATTAATTCGTAAGTAAGAGAAGTGAAGCATACCAGCAGGTTTTCCTGCAATTTCAACATCAAAGTAAACTTTGTGAGTAACTTCTTTCAGATCTTCGATGGACTTTTTTGCCTGAAAATTCCAAGAAAAAACACAACAAATAATGAAATTCACTAATCGTATCAGATTATCGTCAAATTCATCTATCTAATTGTATGCAAAATATAGCATCAATATTAAGCTCAATGAACTGTGCGAACAAATAAAAAAAAACAAAATAATCGAACAATCAGTCAAGAAAAAAAAGAAGCCAGATGATGTTAACAAAATGTAAAGCGATTTTCACATTTTATTCACATATCAAGACAAAAAAACCAAAACCCAGAACTTAAAAAGGGGGGACCATGAAAAAAGGTAAACCTGAGTAAGAGCCAGAGATCCAAGAAGAACCAAAGTGCAAATCAAGGTGAGAGGCAGCAATCGTGAACTATCCATCTCTCTTCAATTATCGTCGGAGGCGATTAATGGTATGAACGTATGAACTGAAGAAAGGAGAAGCAAAGAAACTATATACGGGGTAGGATATGTCACCGGTATACTGATCAGCCAATAAGCGTGCGCCGCGTAATTTACTGGTTGATCTGTTTAAATGTCATTGGTTCTTGGTTAGATAAACTATCAAATGAACTCTCCTAATTATCTTATTTATAGTCCTTACCAATGAAAATGTCATCCATCTCAGTTTTTTTTTTGTCCTCCGTGCCATTTATTAAGGATGAATTTTTATTTTCTTTCACGTAATTATAGAAGTGTGGTGTACGAACGAACTAAATTATCTAATTGGTTAAAATGATAATTATTATATTGAGCGTTTATATTATACCTATTGATAAAAAATGAGTGATTACTTGACCCATTTGGTTGACTTAAATACTTGACTTCATGGAGTTTATACTCATACCTATTAATTGATTGATTTATTGATCGACCAAAGTATTGATTGGTTAGTATTTTATCCGACTGTTGATCGACTCGTGTGACCCTTATTTATTGACCCAAGCTATTTTGAGTGTTGATCGTTTTGACTATTAATAATTTTGATTATTAGTTTTGATTGTTAATCGTAATTGTTTATCATTATTAACTTTTATCAGTAAGTTTACTTTTTGATCAATTTAATTGATTTTAATCCATATTTCATTGATGTTAATATAATTCTTTATTCATGTTTTTCTAAGGTCATTTCGAACCTTTAATATCAAATCGATATTACTTATTGATAAACAAAAGACTATTGTTCTCGATCTACAATTTCACTTAAACTAAAAAGGTTTGTCTGTATGGTGTGTATAAATTGTCAATGATTAAAAAATTTAAACAAATACTCTCTCAAAGTATTAAAAAAAAATCTAATACAAACGCTCACATAGTTATATATGGATATACTATATTAAATACAAGTCCTTACAATTTTGATGAGTTTATTGAGAGTTCCGAAGTTGAGTTGCGTGATCTGCATAAAATTTATTGTAAGGATCTATAAGTCGATTGTTAAAATCGCCATGTTTGAGTTCTACAAATTAAGGTTCATTCCAATATATGAATTCATAACGAGTTGAGCAAAGAGAAGGAACCATCTTGCTTGCTACATCGAAACCTGCTCGATTCTTGGACGAGGAACTGGCAGTAATAACCGCTATCTGCCATACAAACCCTACACTCTACTTTCCAATTCAGATCGAAACCCAACTGCAGCCGTAACCGGTTGGGAGGTTCACCTTTTGATCATCGGTGAGGGCTACGGAAATGATGCTGCAACCACTCGAGAGGATACAACATGTAATTAACGTAAACCCGAGACGCATTCCCACTCAAACAGGGCACTATGTTGCTCCGCATGCTATCGATTTCCTCCGAGGCTCCAGCATCTCACAAAAGTGGGTTGCGGACTACAATACTCTCTATTATTATTATACCCACCATCGCCTGACACTTCTGCCATTCCTACAGATCTATATTCTGTAGGGCAAAACGCAGTTCCCGATGGCTAAGGATGGTTTGATTGTTGTCATGGCAGTAAATTAAGCCCGTAGTCAGGGTCACCGCAAGCCGTGGATCACCTCTCAGGCGAAAAGGGTATCCGATGTTGTAGATATCTCCGCACGAAGTAGTACATGATCCAGGACTGGTCCTTGCTTGGATTTGAACAAAGAAAAGTGTGAAGTAGTAAAGGGATTGAGACTGGGTTTCTCGTCTTAATTCTTCTGCAGGATGAATATACAATTGCTAGTAGATAAAGGAAAGACTTCCTTTTCCTGGATCACTGGAAAGCTCAGTTATATATATATATATAGTTAAGATTCACTCATACAATATAAAAAAATTTCAGTAGATTAAAATATCGATGCTTTAATGGATACTAGATTTTCATAGGATCTTTATTTGTGTATTCATGATCTGTAAATTCTGTTGATTAATGCTATTTAATTTTGTAGTATAGTGAAGCTCTGATTTATATAAACTGTTTTAAATATTTTTTTATAATTATTCAAATATTTTAAATGTAATAGAGCTCTGTTATGAAATAATATGAATTTACTATAAAAAAGATTAAAATTTAATGATTATTCCCACGGTTCAATGTAACAACTTCAATTTATTTTATAATGATTGAATATGAAATGTTACATAAATGTTTTTAAAAAATATCCAAATAATAAATGATGTGTGCAATTTTTTTCACTGACTAATTAAATAAAATGTATTCTTAGAATATTGTGATATAAATTATGATTTATACATATTAAATTAATATCCTTTTATTGGAATTTGCGTTATACATAAATAGACTTATAGTGATTGGTGAGTACAAGAGCAAATAAATGGAATAGTCTAGTACCAGTAGTTGAAAAGTAAATATTTGAAATTATTTAACTCTTTTTCTAAAATCATTAAATATAAATAAATAAAACTAGATTTATAGATTTTAATATTAAAAAACTTAATTTGATCAATTTAAACACAAACTTTTTTAAAAAAATTAATAACAAAATTTCGAAGATCTAAATAAATCAAAATTAAAAGGTTGAGATCCTCGTAATAAATCAACCCTAAAAATTTAAAATGAAGTAGTGAAATTAAAAGCCACTCTTAAAATAAATATAAATTCAAAATCCATACAAATTAAAATAATCTAAAATGATTTGACTTTCAATCAGTGTAGACCCACGCCCATGTGAATCATTAACGTTGCCTTTATTTATTACTACAGCATTTTGATCCGTAACTCATAGGATACCTTTTTCTTTTATCTTCATGGTTATATTGTCATGAATTTCTCATCTTTAAATCATGCCACTTCAACTTTTATATTTTCTTATTATTAATTAAAAAATAAAATTTAAAAAGAATCATTAAATTATTTTAATATAATATTTTAAATATTAAACTTTTAAAAGTTATAAAATACACCCTAAGTTTTAAATTTTATTATAAATTTGTTATTGTCTAGATGTCATAACAAATTAAAATTATTAAATAATATCTTATTTAACTCTTCAATTATAACCTAAAAGTTAAGCAATACTTTTTATTTTAAAAAATTAGAAAATTTTACTAACAACCAGTTGGTTTAGTGGGATGATGTACTAGATCTCTTAAGCAATGTTAGAGGTTCGAATCTTGATGTTTGTGAATGGAGCAAATTGGGTTGGGAGGATCGTCCTCACCTCTACAGTATCTGATACGGATTAATCGATCAACGGATCGAATATTAGTGGTTATAACAAAAAAAAAGGAAATTTAAAAAAATATATGAAATTCATAATTTATTTCAAAACTATAAAAATATTTTTTAAAATTATATATTTGAGAAAATCATTTACATCATGAACTTTTAATAAAAATTATAATTAAAAAACATATAGATTTAAATAATATCGTATAAATTGTATTTGAAAATTAAAAATTTAGTTTGTAAAAATAACGAAAGATTTGTATAAAGACTTTTAGTTATGTTTAGGGATTTAAAAGAGATGGAATCCAACAACCGGTCAACAAGTTGTCTTGCGTGACCAAACAATGTCATATCAGTCGACTTAATGATGAACCAAATCGTTATGAATCAATGATATTAAAAATTAAACTTTTGAAACATTAATGAGGAAAAGAGAAAGTTACTTAAACATTAATGACCATTTATGTAGTTTACCCCTAATTATATTTAAATATAATTATCATGATGAAGCATGACAATTCAAAAGTAAATCCATTAAAACATTCATCTAATATTATCTTAAAACCCTTGGTCAAAAAAAGAAAATACAATTTTATAACCATTTAAACATTCCCCTGAAAATCCCAGTCTGTTTAAATCTTTCAAGTGAACTTTTCTCTGATAAAAAATAACAGAGTCCTTCGATGGGGAGTTACAGGATGTGTGTGTGCTTTACTAGGAAGTTCAAAGTCACCGAGGCAGCACCACCACCGGACGTCAATGATGCATTCAAGAAGTACGCCGAGGGTGGTCCCCACATGACGGCGGAGCAGCTGCATCGGTTCTTGGTGGAGATGCAGGGGCAAGGCGGTGCAACGGTGGCGAATGCAGAGGGGATTGTTCAGCAGGTGCTGCAAAAACGGCATCATATGGCCAAGTTCAGGAGACGCAGTTTAACCCTTGATGATTTCCACCATTACTTGTTTTCTGCAGATCTGAATCCGTCCATTGGTGACCAGGTGCTTGCTCTGTTTTATTTTCTTTTTTTCTCTCTGTTTTTGTTCCAACAACTAAGAAAATTTCCCCCAGGAAAACGATGAATGTTCTTCACAATTTGATAGGATCTGTTATATTTCAGGTCCACCATGACATGACAGCTCCATTGTCCCATTATTTCATATACACCGGCCACAATTCATATTTAACTGGGAATCAGCTAAGCAGTGATTGTAGCGATGTGCCCATCATAAAGGCATTGAAGAGAGGTGTAAGAGTGGTGGAGCTTGATATATGGCCCAATTCCACCAAAGATGATGTTCATGTTCTTCATGGAAGGTTAAATTTAAATGCTTCTAATTCCCTTTATTTGCTATGTTAATTTGAAATCATTTATCAAAAAAAAAGAATTTTTTTTGAAATCATTGATTTAATTAATCTATAGGACTTTGACAACTCCTGTTGAACTCATCAAGTGTTTAAAATCCATTAAAGAACATGCCTTTAGTGCATCACCTTATCCTGTTGTAATTACTCTTGAAGACCACCTAACTCCAGAACTTCAGGCAAAAGTTGCTCAGGTACTTTATACAATTCTTTGTCTTTTTCAGAAAGAACTTGTGTTTGGAATTACCCTTGATTGACCTGAAAATGATCTCATTGTAGATGGTTACTCAAACGTTTGGGAAAATGCTGTTTCACCCTGATTCTGAATGTCTGAAAGAAGCCCCTACGCCGGAGGATCTCAAGTATCGGATTATTATTTCGACAAAACCTCCCAAAGAGTACCTTGAAGCCGAAAGTAATAAGGACAAAATGAATAATTTTCAAAAGGGGAAGGAGTCTGATGATGATGTTTGGGGAAAAGAACCAGCAGGGCTTACAGGTGATCCAGAAGATGACAAGGTGTGCTTGGAAATGAATTTGAGTTGCATCTATGATTTGCACCATCTTCCTATATTTAGTTTTTTAGGGAGTCACTGAAGTTTCCATCTATGATTTGCAGACCGATAGTGATGGAAGTGAGAACAATCGGGACGATGAAGAAACTGATTCATTTGAACCCGAATTACGCCTTTCAAGAGCACCTGCGTACAAGCATCTTATCGCCATTCATGCTGGCAAACCCAAGGGTGGGCTGAAAGAGGCACTGAAAGTTGAACCTGATAAAGTCAGGCGCCTTAGTTTGAGTGAACAAGCACTTGAAAAGGCTACAATGTCCCATGGAACAGATGTTGTGAGGTATAGTAAATATTTGTATTAGTTTCTAACTGAACGTTCCTGGTATAACTATAATGTGCTGAATATGCAAAATCTAATTGATTCTAATCTTGATATCGTTGTGTTTAGATTTACTCAGAAGAATTTCCTGAGAATATATCCCAAGGGCACTCGGTTTAACTCCTCAAACTACAAGCCATTGATTGGTTGGATTTATGGTGCTCAAATGGTTGCCTTTAACATGCAGGTATTCCTTCAATTCCTTCCTTGATTTGCTGTACAAGTTTGGATCATCTTAAATGCAAAGAGCATTCTCGTCAATTTTATTTTTGCTTCTTAATTCGAATGCAAAAATAACTTGTCGTGATTCGACTTTGAATGACATGGTTCCATAATGGATAGTGCACTTCATACGTCAAGCCAACAAGGTTTCGGTCTGATTGCAGGGATACGGTAGGTATCTTTGGCTGATGCATGGGATGTTCAGATCTAATGGAGGCAGTGGTTATGTGAAGAAACCGGATTTTCTGATGAATGTGAATCCAGATGGTTCGGTTTTTGATCCAAAAGCCGACGTGCCTGTCAAGAAAACTTTAAAGGTAAGCATTTTGCAATATGAACAGATTCTCATCCTTCTCAGGACCCTTTTAACTAAACCCTTCATTGTCAACTAACAGGTGAAAGTATATATGGGAGATGGGTGGCACTTGGATTTTAAACATACACACTTTGACTTGTATTCTCCGCCCGATTTCTACACCAGGGTAAGATGTTTTGCACCTGTATTCGAAAATCGAAATGATCTGGAACTCGTTTAATTTCGAATAAAGTTTTGATTTGAATCTAAAACTTGATTGCAGGTTGGTATTGCGGGAGTTCCAACTGATGAAATAATGAAGAAAACAAAGAAAAAAGAAGACAATTGGACACCTGTTTGGGACGAAGAATTTATGTTTCCATTGAGAGTTCCTGAATTGGCTTTACTCCGAATTGAGGTCCATGAATATGACATATCAGAGAAAGATGATTTTGCAGGTCAAACTTGTTTGCCAGTCTCTGAACTGAAGCCTGGGATTCGAGCAGTCCCCCTCTTCGATAGAAAGGGGGAGAAGTTCAACTCTGTAAGACTACTTATGCGGTTTGAGTTTGTTTGAGACTATGAACATGAAGATATGTATTGCTTTAACCTAATCTCTTTACTGTCACACGATCACTTTACTTTCAATTAGCTGTTTTGATTCAGAACAATGCTCCGTCCTCCAGGTGCATAATACTTACTCCCGGGCCAAATTATTCCATATGCTTCCTTTACTGCACAACGCAAACCAGTTTCATTCCAATAAATATGTCACTAGGGGTAATTTAACCCCAACCCTAAAATAAAACACGTAAAGGTGATAACCATCCAAAATATCTCTAATATTTTGAAGGTAAAAAGGCAAATCAGTTGTTGGAGCCCTGGAGGTAGTTAATTTCTGTTGAGGTTTTTCTTTTTCCATTTTTACAACTGATTCTCTGTTTATAATATGGTTTTGTCTTGTAGTTTCTGTAAAAGGTTATTTGTTACATATCTAATTGTTGTGTTTTATCCGTCAGATTGATTACTTTAGGAAAAAAATATGATGCAGTTTGCTTTCAGTTTTCTGTCAATTTCATGAATTGTGGTGGATGTCGTTACTCTTTGTTTGTCCCCTTTTTATACCAATTTCAGTGTCTGAATTTTTTCATCAACTCCTTGAATATTTCTTCTTGTTTCTTTTACAAATAAGCGTATTTTCCATCTTTGGTGACTCAAAGAGGGAATTCACTTAAACTGGTTTCATGATGAAGGGTAGGTCACAAAAAGTAGATAGGGTTCCTAAAAAATTATCGTTTTTATTGGAGTTGTCGGCTTCGAATGATCTCATTGGGTTCAAAAGTGCCATCGAAGAAGGGTGTCATGACATCGATGAGTCAAGCTTATGGTACGGAAGGAAAATTGGTTCGAGGAAGATGGGGCTTGAAGAAAGAACACCTCTTTTGATTGTTTCCCTCTTCGGGAGCAAGGACGTAATGAATTATATTATCAAAAGCGGTCATGTTGATGTTAATCGAGCTCATGGTTCCGATGGTGCCACTGCTCTTCACTGTGCTGTTGCCGGTAGATCATTTTGTTCTACTGAGGTTGTAAGAATCTTGCTTGATGCGGGTGCTGATATCAATTCTCTTGATGCTAATGGAAACAGGCCTGTTGATTTAATTGTTCCGACTCGTAATTCAACTTTCAGCTTGAAGAAGAAGATGTTGCAGTCTTTGTTGAAAGGAAGCAGATATGATGGTGAAATAGAAGGTTTGCCTACGGAAATAGAGGGTTGTAATTCAATGGTCCAGATTTTGAAAGATGGAACTGAAAAGAAAGAGTATTCTATTGATTTTACTCTTCCGAACATTAAGAGTGAGATATATGGCACAGATGAGTTTAGGATGTATAATTTCAAGGTCACGCCTTGCTCGAGAGCTTACTCTCATGATTGGACCGAGTGCCCTTTTGTGCATCCCGGGGAAAATGCGAGGAGACGTGATCCTAGGAAATACCTATACAGTTGTGTTCCTTGTCCTGAATTCCGTAAGGGTTCCTGCAAACAGGGCGATAATTGCGAGTATGCACATGGTATTTTTGAGTGTTGGCTTCATCCTGCCCAATATCGAACTCGTTTATGCAAGGACGAGACTAATTGCAAGAGGAGGGTTTGTTTCTTTGCTCACAAGCCTGAAGAGCTTCGTCCTGTGTATGCTTCAATAGGTTCAGCACTGCCCTCCCCAAGATCTTATTCAGCTATGGGTTCCTCTTTAGAAATGGGTTCAATGAGCCCACATGGTCTTGGCTCCCCATCTGTTTTGTTACCTTCAACATCAACACCGCCCTTGACCCCTACTGGTACTGGTAGTATATCTTCACCTATAGCTGGAGTGACGTGGCCTAACCAGTCTATTATCGTACCGTCATTGGAGCTTCATGGTAGTAGGCTGAGAACTGCTCGAAGAGTTTGGAATATGGACTTGGAAATGGAACAACTCAGACCGGAAAGTTGTCACCTCCAACCAACTCAGCAGCTAATTGATGAGATAACAGGTCTTTCCTCCACCACCAATTGGAACAATCCCTTGTCCACTACTTCAACCTTTTCTGCATCTGTAGACGAAACTGGTGAATCAAATTGGTTTGGAGGAATCTCACTCGATACTTCAACTCATCAGCTGCAGTCTCCCATTGGAGTCAGCTACATGACCAACCTAGCATCCTCTGCCATGAGGGCATCTCAATCCTCAGGGGTCGACACATCTAGGCCGACTGCAGGTACAATTTTAAGTCCAAATCCAGCTGCCTTTGCAAACCGGAGGCCAAGCTTTATGGAACTTACTTCCATAAATCACCATTTGGGGTTTTCTTCACCAAGTGCAGTGCCTTGTAACTTCTCAAATTGGGGTTCGCCTGATGGAAAACTAGACTGGGGTATACAGGGAGAAGAGAAAAATAAACTAACACACGCTTTGTGTTTTGCGTTCCAAAGCAGTAGCAGTAATTTGGGAGATCCAGCACAGTCAATATCGTCAACTTCAGAGGAGCCAGATGTGTCCTGGGTCCAGTCTTTGGTGACGGACAGCCTTTCTGAGCAGCTCAGTGTCGAGGACGAGCAGCAAGAGAAATAAATTTCTCATCATAACAACGTCTGTGTTCTCTACCTGGGTGGAGCAATATTATATGGAACATGAGCATATGGCGACCCAAAAGTAAAGCTAGAAAAAGGTGGGCTTAACAAAAGGTTTCAACTAATTCTAATGAAAGTTCCCTGTTTCGTCCATCAATGATTTGGTGAAGAAGGTAGGTAGGTCAATATCAAGTATATATATAATTGGTGGGGTTTTTGTATACATATTATGTACTATAAAAAGTATTGAATTATTCAATAAATACGCATATATAGATGTTTTTGTGAAAACTTGCTTTTCATATACTGTAATATGGAAATCCAATGGTCTAAATATTGTTACTTAAAGGAATTAAAAAAAAGAATTCTTAATTTCTTTATCTTAATCCATACTGGGTGTTGGGTTTATTTTATGCTGCTGGTGTCATGGTGTGGAATATATTCATCTCACCTTCTACTTAGTTAAAAATATTAAGATAGATATCAGATTTGTTCTCATATCCTAACCAGGAGAGAATTATTTTGGAAAATATGAGATAACACCAAAAAAATACTTTGCATAATTTATTTTATATAATGTATGTAATCATTTTCCTAGAAAAAAATTAAAAATAAATACTTCATATAAAGATGATTAATCTTTCAATACTTTGAAGTAAGTCTTGTAATTTGAAAAATGTTGTTTCGCCCTCAAATTATGCCTTTCAAAAGCACCGATGTACATGCATCTTGTCGCCATTGATGCTGGCAAACCCAAGGGTGAGTTGAAAGAGGCACTAAAATGTTGAACTTGATAAAGTCAGGCCTTAATTTGAGTGAACAAGCACTTGAAAAAGGCTAAGATGTCCCATGGAACATATGTTGTGAGGTATAATAATTATTTGTATTAGTCTTGGAGGCCTTGTTAGTAATGTTTAGATGCTAATAACCACAATGTTACTTGTAGATTTTGTTTATCTGATATTTAAGCTGCCCAGATTTTTTGTTGTCTTTTGTGCGTATTGTATATTGTAACATAGGGGCAGTCACTACCTGTCGGTAAAACACAGGAAAATCAATCGATGGCTGGCGGCAACCGCAGCGAGGATATGGGCTTAGGGTTAGAGAGAAAGGGATTTTTTAAGGAGAAAAATATATTTTAGGTTTTTTTATGAAGGGGGTTTTAAAAAAACTTTTAAAATTTCAGGGGCTAGTTTTAAAATTAACCTTTTTTAACGAAGGAAAGTTAACTATCCAGTGATCTAAATGTAATAAAACGATAACGTAAGTGATCAAAATATTGCATTTTGGAAATCAGTGACCAACATCAAACAAAACAAAAACATAAGAGGGCACCATTGTTATTTATCCTTACTAATAACATTAAAAAAAAGACTGAACAAAATAATAGAAAAGAAGATGAAACTCAAGAAAAACTTAATTGAAAAGAAAATAATAATGATATTTGACTGAATCTATACAAAGATTACAAAAACAATTAATCCTAACCTTAAAATATAAACATAAAAGTAATGGAAAACCCTAAAGTCAACCCTCTTCCTCAATTACGCAATGCTGAGAACCAACTGGCGCCTATGTTGTTGACTCAGGCACTCCCCAAGAACAGTGGTAACCCTACTGAATTCTTTAACGGGCCTGAAGTCTTGTGTTCCCCGCAACTTGAAGGACCGGGCTCCCCTTTCCCAGATGAAGATCAACGTGTGACAAAGAAAGTGAGAAATAAGGAAGATGAAGATGATCATATGGAGGAAGCCCAGGAGGGAATAGAAGCACAGATGAATAAGACTAATGCTGGAGAAGATGCTGATAAACAGGAGAAGTTATCCTACGCTGGGGCAGTTACGAGTCAATCACCACGAATTGAGGATGTAGTTTCGCTTCAGGCCATGGACGAGGTGGTGTCGATGGCGAGTGTATCGTGGACAACAATGGCCCATATCCGGTGATCCAATTTGCGGATCAAGTGCATGACAGAATCGACTATAGTATGAGGCGTTCGGTCATCGTTCGACTTCTCAGACGTGCCATTGGTTATAAAACTCTGTTGAATCGTATTGGTATCTTATGGCAACTTCAAGGTCAATACCAGGTTATTGATTTAGAGAACGATTATTTTCTAGTAAAGTTTGAAAGTGAGCAGGATTACATTCATGTTTTGACGGAGGGACCATGGACGATTTTTGGAAGCTATCTCACAGTCCAACCATGGAGTCGATCGTTCTCAACAATGGAAAAACATCCATCACAGGTCATTGTTTGGGTGTGATTACCGGGTCTTCCTTACATATACTATTCCAAAGCGATATTTCGTCGTATCGCTATGGTTATCGGACAAGTTGTGAAGATTGATTATAACACGAATTCGGGGGAAAGAGGTAGATTTGCTCGCTTGACGATTTTGGTGAATCTTAATAAACCATTAATTCCTTGCATCAAGATTGATGGATTCTGGCAAAAGATTGAGTATGAAGGTTTGCAGCAGATATGTTTTCACTGCGGTGTCTATGGGCATTCAAAAGAAAGTTGTGGACACATAGAAGGTAATACAAGCAAGGGCAAGATAGCGAATGTTACAAGTGTCAATATGGAGAAAGAGTTTTATGGAGAGGAGGCTAGATACGGACCATGGATGATAGCGGAGACCCGTAGGAGGCGTACTAGGAGAAATACAGATTCACATCCTAAAGTCAGTGGTGATAACGTGCAAGGTTCTCGGTTTGCTATTTTGAACGATAGTAAAAACAATCCTGTTGCGAATAATACAACTCCTACGGTAGTAATAGAGGCAGAAATCAGCAAGAGTAATGATCCGGTGAATACTCCTCGGATGGAGAATCGGGGTAAAGGAAAAGACAAAACAGTTCTTGGTTCAAGGGGGATTGGGAATAACATACTAGAAAACTCGAACAACAAGGTGGTTACTGGAGATAGTCGAGCTTTGCAACATATCAATGTGATTGAAATAGAGGTTGGGGTGATCCCTCAAGGTACGAAAACTAGGAAAATTACAGCGACAGGAAACCATTCGACAATTGTTATTTCGGAAAATAATAGAGATAGCCTTGGAAGTAAAGGGGTTCGTGGTAAGTTTACCGGAAAAGAGGTGGGGGAGAAGACAAGGGACTTAAAGTGAGGAGAAATAAGGACTTTAGATTTTCACAGGCAGTGGTTACGGATTGGATGAGGAATATTAATCTTAGTCCGCAAGTTAATAAAGTAACGTTGCATGGAGAGAGTTCCTCATTCCCATATGAAAAAGAAAGGGAGGAAGCTCTACCGCATACAACGAAGGGGAGTACTTCTGCTTCGGAAGAAATTCACGTTCTGGATGGCGAGAATGCCAACCCGAATCTACCTCTGTGAGGGGACACCTCTTGTAATTTTGTTTAATAGTTAATTTTCTTTTTTGGAATTGTCAGGGTGCTGACGATATCTTCGGGAACATTGTCGGTATAATTGACCTTGTATTGTTGCTTTGCTGAAAACTCGGATTAATGGTATTGTTGCCGATAAAGTCATCTAGACCTTGGGATATCCGCATTCGTTTAGAGTAGAAGCCCATGGGTTTAGTGGTGGGATTTGGATACTTTGGGAGGACGGATTAAATGTTAAGATTTTAACCATTTCGAACCAGTTTATTCATGGGAGGTGCTGGTCGAAAAATGATACTCGCTGGCATTACTTTACGGTTGTTTATGCAAGTCCTCAAGTGGAGAAGCGGAAGCTAATTTGGAATCATCTAATGAATCTTGCTCCAAGCGATACTGAAGCGTGGATACTGGGAGGTGATTTCAACTCCATATTTCGGCCCAAAAAAAAGGAAAGTGGCGCAATTCGTGGATCGAGGATTAGTGCATTGTTCGCTGATTTCATTTTTAAGATGGGTTTATATGAAGTTGTTTACCGAGGATCAAAGTTTACATGGAGGAGAGGGAATCTTTGCAAACGGTTAGATCGCTGCCTCATCAATAATTGTTGGGCTAATGTCTTCCCTAATACTATGATGTTGCATCTTGATAGAGTGGGCTCGGATCATTGTTCGCTTCTAGTTCAAATTCAGAGTGTTCAGAGATCTCAAATGATTAAACCTTTTCGATTCATTGCTGCATGGCAGGATCACCCTCAGTTTAAGAGTTTTTTTATCGGAAGTTTGGAGCAACTATTTGGATATGCTAGCCAATGTCAATTCTTTCCAAACTAAAGCGAAAGATTGGAATTTAAAGGTATTTGGTCATATAGAGAGGAAAAAAAGAGAATTACTGGCACATTTACGAGGTATTGATAAAGCGCTCCTTACTCGCTATACTCGGAGATTAGTGGAGTTGCAGTATCGTTTATCATATGAACTTGAAGAGGTTCTGCAACAAGAGGAGAGCTTGTGGTTACAGAAGTCGAGGAATCAATGGGTTCTTTATAGAGACAAGAATACAAAATATTTCCACGCGTGCACGATGAGGAGGTGTCGTCACAATTTCATTGGTGCTCTTAAATCACCGAATGGCAGTTGGGTGTCGGACCAAAAAGCTCTTTGCTCAATGGTGGTTAACTTCTATAAGAATTTATTCACAAGCAGTAATATTGATGGGCATGGGTACCCGATTTAGGGATGTTTTCCAACAATCTCTGTTTCACAGTTGAATAATCTCTCACGACCGTTAATTAATGAAGAGATTCGCGAAGTGGTATTTAATATGAGTCCACTAAATGCTCCTGGAGTTGATGGGCTTCATGTGTTCTTCTATCAGTGGAACTGGGATACAGTAAGCTTCAATGTGTGCCAAATGATCAAAAACATTTTTGCAGGAGGAACTCTTGATGATGAAATTAATCGAACTCTTTTGGTGCTAATTCCGAAAGTACAAGTACCATAATCTTTTAATCAATTCCGACCTATTAGTTTGTGCTCTGTGCTATACAAAATTGTTACTAAGCTTATTGTTAACCAGCTTAAACCGATGATGAATCAATGGATATCGGAAAATCAAACAAGTTTTGTTCCTGACAGTTCGATTATTGGAAACATTATTGTCGCACAAGAGATTGTTCATACCATGAGATCGAAGAAAGGTAAAGTTGGTTTTATGTCGATAAAAATT